AGGTTTATTTTTGGGTAGTTGTGCATATTTGCAAAAAAATTTCCTAGTTCGAACTGAAGTCTCTTGAAAATGTACATGTTAAAGTCATATTTTCAGTTAGTTCTGAAATGTGTGTATGTGTGTGATTGTGGTGGAAGGGATGAAACCTTTCACAAATCAATATCAATATTACATGTAAAATATCTCTGTATTGTATCCGTGGATCCAGCTATTCAGTATGCTTTAAGACAGCAAGGTGATTTAAGTCTTGTAGCAAGTACTAACATTTTGAGTGCAGAATGAGTGAATTACCGAAAGTAATAGCTTGACAAAACTAGATCAAGAAACTCTGGTGACAGTCAGGAGAGATCAAAAGCAGATCAGATTGCTTAACAAATTCTGTGTCAAGGAACGGAGAAAGGCACAACTGAGGATCCTGGAGAGCTGTGAAATTGAAGGGCAATTAATGGAGCCAAACTGGTAGATATATTAATAAAATCCTGAGCTGTCTCAGACCTTTTGTTTATTAAAATGTCTGTCTGCTACATAACAGATTAATGCCCAGCCACATAAAGCTTTAAAACAAATGGAAAAGAAACGAGTGGCAGCTGAAGAAGAAATATTATGGTAATTGTTATTTCAACTACAAAAAAATAAAAAATAAAAAATCACTCATATTCTAAAGTACAAGAAAGCCGCCCACATCCTAAAAACATATGTAAAATTAATGTTTTTTTATCTAATATTCCTTACGTCTTTTTCCTCCTGAATTAACAAAGTTCAACACATACTTCTCATAAAACACGCAAACAAATAAGGTGTGGAATCTGTGCAGTTACTATTTTAAAAATAATAAAGAAAAAAAGAGATTCTTCCTTGCAATGAAATTCAGTTTAATTCTCCTTTTTAGCCCTATGTACACTAAAGATATCATCCAATTACGTACCATAAAATAAATATTGTAATTACAAAAATAGTACAGGTTTGTTTGAGAGCCAGTTTGGTGTCAAGCTAGAAACCAGGAGACTGTGAGTTCAAGACCCACTTTAGGCACAAAGCCAGCTGAGTGACCTTGGACCTGTTTATTTCTCTCAGTTCCAGAAAGGAGGCAATGACAATTATTTCTTAAAAAATCTTTTCCAATACAACTGCAGGGACTAGTCCAGGCAGTGTCTGAGAATTGTACACAATTGAACCGAAAACTACCCACAGAGCAAATATGAGCATCAGATATGGCTAGTTCAGGGGTGGAAATTCAGCAGGTTCTGACAGGTTCTGGAAAACCGGTAGCGGAAATTTTGAGTAGTTCGGGGAACCGGTAAATACCACCTCTGGCTGGCCCCAGAGTGGGGTGGGAATGGAGATTTTGCAATATCCTTCCCCCAGGAGTGGGGTGGGAATGGAGATTTTGCAGTATCCTTCCCCTGCCATGCCCACCAAGCCACACCACGCCCACCAAGCCACGCCCACAGAACCAGTAGTAAAAAAAATTGAATTTCACCACTGGGATAGTTGTACCAATTAACTGTTTCTTCCTTTGTTGATACAAGTTTTTGGCACTTTTAGATACAGGAAGAAGCTCCTCATGAAAGGAACTGTGTTTTCTACATGCATGTATTTAATTTGGGAGGGCAGAAATAAATGTTTTAAATTTAGCAAGCATTTAAAATGTGCAGCAACACCAATACTCCTGGTCACATCCACATCTTGGGTCCCTAGTAGTCATGCTTTTGTTTGATGCTGTGCATGCCCTTTGGTACAGCCTTCGGAGGGATCCAGCTGGCCCCAACTCTATGGGCCTTTTACAAGGTGCATAGGATTTGGGTTGGGAGGGAAGGCAAGTCCTATTGTTTTATTGTTTTATTTTAGTGACTTGAAAGAGAATGGTGGGGTTTTTTGACCCCAGGACTACCTTATAGTAGGGTTGCATATGGATTTTATGAAGTATGTCATTGTTTTTGATTTTAATCTCTGTACGCCACCCAGAGTCACCTTTGTGAGATGGGCAGCTCTACTACTCAAATTATTCGTAAACTAAGTTAAGGAAAGCTTAAATTAAGTTAATTAAACTAAACACAACACCCTGGAAATTATTCAGTACACATCCTTCATTTATTAGTGCCATTTTACTTTTTAATTACTTTTTTATTAGTGACTCAATAATCATAGACTTTATGCTCACAACCCTAACTCTGATTGGTAGAGAAATCATGGGTGCATAAGATCAATTCCATCTCCTTCATCTCTAGTCTGAGCCAGAAGCTGTCTTGTGACTTATGACATTGTCTTACCCTTCTGTTTGGTCTGGCTTCTGCCTTGTCGCCAGCTGCAGCTCAAACATTTCAGTGAAATGCAAAGTGCCATTCTTTCATCATGCATGCAGCAAAAGTGGTCTGACTTACATTTTGGCTATGCTGATCACATTCTCCCATGTCCCTTGGAACAATACATTAGAGGAAGGAGGGCCAGTTTAGTGGTAGAAATAGTACTATACTTCAAGACTTCCAATACACTAACTGTAGGGTTGGTCCTGTAATGATAAACCTTACTAATAACATTTCATTATTACACAGGTATTTAATATCAGCACAGGAAGTGCTAATATACTATTCCTGCATGTGTTCCAAATTCTAGAGAGAGATGTGCTGCAAAATTGAGAAAGAGACCTCTCTTTCTATTAGGACTTCTATTAGAAATCGACGTTTAAGGCAAGGTAGGTAGCCTATTTCTGGCTGAGAGAAGGCTAGAAGATTCAAAAGAAAGGGAGATGAGTTGTCAGGAAGAGTTCATTCATTGTTTTTTAAAGCTATTTTATGAATTCATCCATTTAAATCTATTTGGTTATATGATCAAGCTCCTAAGATTACAGGTGGTTTACAAATGTCTACATAATGTGTTACTCTAAAGTGTAATGATTAAGAGTATGTCTCTCATACAGCATTACTAAAAAACTGCTTTCCAAGCTGAACACCAAATGAAGCACTAATAATTACTTCCCAAATAGCTACTGAAAAAAGACTGCTTTGACAACTGTGAAAGCTAAAAGAAGAGCATCTCTGCTAGAAAGGGATTTCAAAGCTTTGGGGCTATGACTAGGAAGGACAATTTTAGGGTTTACATTCCATCTCGTTCTTAATTCAGGAAGGCAGGTTTTAACTACAGGAGATTTTCCTTAACTTTAATCCTCTACAGCAGTGTTTCTCAACCTTGGCATTGTTTCTTGATCTTGAAGATATGTGGACTTCAACTCCCAGAATTCTCCAGCCAGCTTGAAGGTATTTACCTTTTTTATAGCAACTTTATGCTGTATTTCAATTTTCATACATTTGTTCATTTTCATTCCCCAAACCTATTTTCTGATCAGTCACTGCTATCACAGTATTATTTTAATCCAATTCCCAAGGCAAAAACTACTTTTAGCCGCTATATTTACCATGTTTTTAATATCTACTGTATTAATCAATATCATACACATTCACAAAAGTGTTGATATTTTGCTCCACTATAGTATTTGCTTTTGCTGTATTATGGTACTTCTGCTATTTTTAAAGCCTGTTTATCCAGTATGAACAGTTCCTTTTGGAGTTCTTTGTGAATCACCAGTCTTGGTTTCAATCCTTGGGGACCCAGAAAATGAGGGCCTGCCTATATAATGGAAATCAAAGTTTAGGGAAAGTGGCTAGAGCCAAAGATATTAATTTTGACAGCTGGAAAAAGTTAGTATATTTTATATCAGCTTGCTTGGCAGGAGACATCCCCCCCCCTCATTCTTTCTCTCAGTCTCTCTCATTCATTCTCTCTCTTTCTCTCTTATATAGTATTACATATCTCTAATCCTTACAATAGGCCCTTAAGACCTGCCAATATTACTATTCCCATATTAGCGTTAGCATACTGAAGAGAAGGGTGAGGCTTAGAAACAGAACATGACCAGGACACAAAATTCTTCACGTTTGTGGGCAGAACAACTGGGTGGATGGTTTCTCCTACAATTTCTCCAAGGTGACCTCCCCTCCAATCATTGATAACTGCACTGAAAAGGTGGAATGAATTCCTCCAAAAACTTCTCCTGGAATTTAACCGATGCATTGGAAATCAAACAGAATGCACAACTCTGAAGAGATATTTCTAAAATAAAGAGAGAACATTTCCACATACCCCTTGGCTACATTTTAACACAAAGAGCCCAAGGCTATCATGTTCCCTTCTTGAAAGGAAGTTTAAAGTTTCTTGACCCAAACAGGCCCGGCTGCCTAGCTTCCTGATTTGGACACTGCATTTGCCACACAATTAAGATAAAAAGGAAAAACATTGTAGGATTTTTTTTTCCTGCCCTGTGCTAGACAGAACAATAGCAAATTGCCTTAGAGAAACTAACACTTGTGGCAAAGATGAGATTCGAACTGAGCACTTCCAAATCTTCCTATTCTTGCCCAATCTCTTAGGATTTCGAGATAGGTTGCAGAAACATGCAACAACCTTGGTGGATCAGTATTGTGGAGGGTTTTTTCTGCAACTTAGCAACAGAACTGTATATATGTGTCTGTATGGATAGAAATCCTTCTTAATTTCATGAAACTAATTCTGCAAAGGGTGTAGCCTAAGAAGTCTCTGAAGTTTGTTTTAGAAATATACTGATAATTTAAGAAGAATCTTCAGCATTTCTTAAATGAAATTTGATTTCTCAAACATTGAACCCTGAGAAAAAAATTATATATTTATATATATATTATATACAATATATATGTATTATATGTTTAAAATAAAATTGATACATTTCAGATTTACAATTGAATTTTCCCATTTCCTTTCTTAAGACAAATCCATCTAAATCTTTAAATATAATTGAAAACGCAACTTAAGGTCTGACATACTTCTGTATCTGAGAATTTGACTGTCATAGTGGCTTTCTCATTGCCATTTCTTGTATGCTTGATGGCACAGATTAGAGGTATTTACCAGCATGTTCCAATGTATCTACCAGCATGTTCCCATGTCTGCCTAGAAGTCAAAGCTTTTACCTCTCAAGTCTTTTTTCAGTTTGCGAAGATCCTTACTGAACTCTTCAAATTTTAGCTGAGAAGCTTGAAAAAGATCCTGCGGTTCTGGAAGAGGGAAGATGCATTGTTCTTTTCCGGCATCCTGGCAAAACAAATAAGCAGGTCGAATAGATAACATAACATTGAGACAAGAACTACATATTTTTCTCTTTCATTAAATATGTTACCAAAGTGATTCAAGAGCAAGTATCGCTTAAGGCAGGGCTGGGGAATCTGGTGCTTTCGCCAGATTGTTTTGGCTCTGCTAAATTTCTATATTAGTGATACCGGTAGTATAACCTGTAAAGGGAATGTTCTTGATTGGGTGGTATTTAAATATCAGAAATAGCAATTCAGTGGCAAACTTAAGAGCTGGTTTGGTATAGCAGTTAAAGCACCAGGCTAGAAACCAGGAGACTGTGAATTTTACTCCTGCCTTAGGCTGGGTGACTTTGGGCCAGTCACTCTCTCTCAACCCAACTCACTTTCCAGGGTTGTTGTTATGGGGACAATAGGAGGAGGAAGGAGTATTAGATATGTTTGCCACCCTGTGTTAAAGATAAAAATAAAGACAGGATACATACATACATACATACATACATACATACATACATACATGCATGCATGCATGCATGCATACATACAGTACATACATACATACATACCAGGGGTGGGTTCTACTTACCTTTAGTACCGGTTCACAATGGGATCGTGCGCGTGCCTTGCTTTTGCGCATGCACAGAAGCTTCTGCGCATGCACAGATCGCTTCTGATGACATCAGGGTCAGTGGGCGGAGCCTCCCACCGGTTTTACTACCGGTTCTATAGAACCAGTTCCAAACCGGGGGCAACCCACCACTGATACATACACACATACACACACAAATAATCTGGTCAATTTTGCTTTACTTTGACAGATTTTAGCCAGTGATACTACTGAGTATTATGCTAGCAACATCTTTCACTGTTGAAAGTATATAAGCAAACAACAACCAAATTTATGAACTGCCTTCATTGCATGCTTAAGGAACCAGAAGATAAAAAAGATGACATTCAATATTGTGAAAGGAAATCCCTGAACATGCAACACTTTTTAAACTCGTCTTCATACTGCAAATACCTTCCTTAGAGGTTGAGAAATGAAGCTTGAGTTTGAAAAAGCAGATCGTGAGCATGTATGAAAGCATTTGTCACCTTATTCTTAGTTCCCTCAAGAAACCACCCTACTAGATCTCACCAAAAGGTTTTATATTAAATGACAGAAACAAAAACTATCCTAAAAGAAAAAAAGGTTAAATTGGAAGTTCATACTTACCTCATCAAAATTGCGCAAATAATATGAGACAATATATGACAGGAGACTCCTGCTGTTATCCTGTATAAGGTCAAAATTAAATAGCATTTATATATGAAATATATTGACATTTAGATTGAATAATTTGTATTTGTATAAATTTGGAGCACAGGTAGTCCTCAGATAACAACCACTCATTCAGTGGCTGTTCCAAGTTATGATGGTACTAAATGAGGAGACTCATGACTAGTCATAGTAGCTGTTGCTGTCATGTGATCATGGTTTGGATGCTCGGCAACCAGCTTGCAATTATGATGGTTGCAGCATCCTGCCATCACATGAGGACTGTGGTGGGTTTCAAAATTTTTTACTACCGGTTCTGTGGGTGTGGCTTGGTGGGTGTGGCAGGGGAAGGATACTGTAAAATCTCCATTCCCACCTCACTCTAGGGGAAGATTAAAATCCCCATTTCCTCCTGATCAGCTGGGACTCGGGAGGCAGAGAATAAATGGGGGTGGGGCCAGTCAGAAGTGGTATTTACAGGTTCTCCGAACTACTCAAAATTTCCGCTACCGGTTCTCCAGGACTGGTCAGAACCTGCTGAAACCCACCTCTGCATGAGGAGCCCTGGTGATGCAGTGGCTAGAATCCAGTATGTAGGCTAACTCTGCTCACAGTCTGGAGTTTGATCCTGATGGGCTCTAGAGTAACTCAGTTTTCTATCCTTCCGAAGTTAATAAAATGAGGATCCAGATTGTTGGGGGCAATATGCTGGCATTGTAAACCACTCACAGAGTACTGAAAAATACTATGAGAGTGGTATATAAGTCTAAGTGCCATTGCTATTGCTATTACATGTTGTGATCTTCACTGCCAACTTCCAACAAGAAAAGCCAATGATGAAACTGGCAGGAGTTCTCAAATGGTAATCATGTGACAACTATAATGTGGCGTGGCAGGAGAAGGATATTGCAAAATCTCCATTCCCACCCCACTCTGGGGCCAGCCAGAGGTGGTATTTGCCGGTTCTCCCAAACTACTCAAAGTTTCTGCTACCGGTTCTCCAGAACCTGTCAGAACCTGCTGAATAGCACCCTTGCTCCTGGTACATCCTTTTTTATACTTTCCCCCCCTAATACACATACAAGTAATCCTTGACTTATCACCACAATTGAGCCCAAAATTTATGTTGCTAAGTGAGAAATTTGTTAAGTGAGTTATGCCCCATTTTATAATTTTTCTTGCCACATTTGTTAATCATTGCATTTGTTAAGTTAGTAACATGGTTGTTAAGTGAATCTGAATTCCCCACTGACTTTGCTTGTCAGAAGATCACAAAAGGTTGATCATATGATCACTGGACACTACAACTGTCATAAATATGAACCAGTTGTCAAACATCCAAATGTAAATCACATGACCATGAGGATGCTGCAATGGTCATAAGTGTGAAAAATGGTCTCATGTCATTTTTTTTCAGTCATTGTAACTTTGAACAATCACTAAACAAAGTATTTTAAGTTGAGGACTACCTGTATTTTCTGCAAACATTGAATTACAAACTACAAACATCTGTAATTCCAATTTGTAGATAGAAATTAAGAATGAAAATTGTGTAACATCAATTTGTTACACACCACTAGCATCCTAGAGTTACTACAAGACTAAATAACATAACATGCTTTATCTCTGCATGTGGAGATCCATCCCTCCCTCTTTCTTTCTTTCTTTCTTTCTTTCTTTCTTTCTTTCTTTCTTTCTTTCTTTCTTTCTTTCTATCAAAATTCTGGAGTGAACAGTGACTTAGCCTGCAGTACTGCATTCTAACCACTGCGCTACCAGAGCACTGAGAGCATGGGCCTTTCATGCTTAATAAAGCAATGCAGCATATTAAATGTCATAATAATTAAGGCATGGGAGGTAAAACTTACACTACTCTTGACATCTTTGAGTTTGGGAAGTATGTCTAGTCCAAAGCCATCTGCTTGTCCTCTTGTCCTATTTCCACCATTCATGTAATTCCCAAAAGCTAGGACCAAGCCTAGAACCCGCATAACTCCTGAGCCACTTTTCAACATCTGGGGAAACAAGATGCAGAGAAGTTACTACAGAACATGTTAGAAACATTTCATTTTATTTATTAAAAAGTGTACGAACACATAGCTCTTGTTAAAACAATTGAATGCAATTTAATTTTAAATACTTCATAATCACATCGGGATGATCCCAAAACAATAATAACTCTGAAACTTCAGTAATAATTACATTTATAATTCCTTACTATTATGTAGGTGTATCACAAATAAAAACAATCAAAGACATTTATATCTTGAGAAAAGGGGTTCCTGAACATTTGAAGCCAATATCCAAGTGCTATTTACAGATGCAGAAATATTAATTCTGTGAGCCTCAAACTTAAAAATAGTTTTTATTTTAAGATCAGTACAGTGCTGGGGAGCTTATGACTTTTCAAATATTGTTCAAGTACTCCACTATTGGACAGTGTGGAAAAGAGTTTTTGTTCTGCAGCATTTGTAATGAGATAAGTTCCCATCTATACCATAAGAGGAAGGTTTTCTAACGTTGCTTAAGGGAATAGAAACAAAACGGTGAACTGTAGTTTAGAGTAAGAGATATTTAAGTTCAGGTACTTGTCATTTTTTGCCAAAGCTTGCTCAAATGTCTTTACGTTAAACCTTTTTTATTAATATTGAACAACTTTAGCATGATAGGCTGGGCCCACTATAATCACTCTGGAGACAATTCTTGACGTGAAACCATCACACAAGAGATGCAGGAAATGCTGGATTAACTAAATGTAATGGTATTGGGAAAGACCTTTGGAGATAGAGCCAAGAGATGCTACCTAGGGAACAGTTAAGTAAGGGACAGCACAACCCACAACTGGGCAGTGGATGGGGCAAGAGACTCAGAAAAAACCTTCCTCAGTTTCTTAGATTATAAAGGAGATGGGCAGAGGGAAGAGAGATGTACTTTCAGACTTGCAAGATTTTTGTCAATTTAGCTTTACAATAAAGTATAATTAGCTCATCTGGTTGTGATTCCCATCTGGTTTACCCATGAGACTAACATCAGTCTTGCAATCTTTCCCACTACTTCCTTTACAACCCAAGAAACTAGGGGAGGAACCTTTCTGAGCCTGTTGCCTCTCCCATTATCCAGTTGTAGGTCATGCTGTCTTTTATCCAACTGTTCCCCTTGGCAGGATCTCTTGGCCTTTCCCATACACCATCAGACCAGCCTCCTAAAGCTACTAAGGAGGCAGTAGAACAGTAGATAAGCAAGCTGCAATTGTAGGAGAATGAGTTAGCTCTCCTGGCACTGAAATACATGAAAGAACCATGCAGGCTGAGCCCTATAATCAGTGCAAACATTTCTGAATGGAAGAAGTCATCTGGCAAAATTAAACTATGCAAATTAAACTGTATTAAGTATATTCATGATTTGGCAAATGTGAAAAATACAGAGCTTTGTAATAAAGGGGACACAGACAGTGGTGGCATTCAAGTAATTTAACAACTGGTTCTCTGCCCTAATGATTTCTTCCAACAACCAATTTGCCAAACTGCTCAGAAAGTTAACAACCGGTTCTCCCGAACTGGTGTGAACTGGCTGAATCCCACCACTGGACACAGATCTATCCTTTCCTTAAAGTATAGGAATTCTTGACAGCTACAAAAAATCTGGTGAGCAAAAAGTACCCCCCCCTTTAAAAAAAAAAGAACAAATGGCTATATTGATAACAGTAAGAGGATAAAAAGTTGGATAGCCTCATGTGTGCCTTCTTGTTCTCCTTCAAGAAAAAGTGGGATACAAATAAACAAACAGGCAAACCATCACACTGGACATGAATGGGAAACATTGACTTAATTGCCTAACAAAATAGATACACTACTGTTCTGTATATCATTCCCATTCCATTAAAATTAATAATAGTGAATGAAATATTTGGGGAAGGGACATATAGATGGGTTCCCATGAAAATTTCAGATGGAATACAATGCAAGGATTTTCTATTGCCTTAGTGACACTGCTTCCAGTTAAATTATATGGATTGACAGCAAAAAGTTTGTCAATGGCTTGACCTCTGATTGGTTGCAATGCAGAAAGCCTTAAATAGGATGAAACTGGTTCCAGCATAACAGCAGTGGCAATGCAAACAAGCATGACACAAGCTTTGGAAAAAGGCAACAAAGTTTGGGGACTGAGGAATTATTAAGTCCCTGAGGAACATGTCTTTAACTGAACATTTTTACACAATCTATTAATGCCCTGTAGATTTTTCCCATGGAGAATTGCAGCTATGGAAGCCTCACATGGAACTGAGAGTATTGAAAAGAAAAGGGGGGGAGTGTAATATACTCTCCTCCCACAATAGTTTCAAAATCATCTTTGCAGCATTGTCAATAGCAACTATGATTTGTTGAGACTGAAGAAGAATCTTGAAGTTATCGCGATATCTTCAAGATTATATAGCCTATGTAATATTAACTAATATTTGTTCATTGTTATAAAGCTAAGTGTGGGAGATTGCTGCTGTTGCCAATGCTGCCAAAATTACAATCAGATGATTATTATATATTATTACAGAAACAAAGGCACTTCTAAAAGAAAAAGTCAATGTATGTTTGTTTGGAAATACTGAAAGAAAGCCAGTGCCTGTTACAAAGAGAGAAGATTTTGTTTTGGCACAGGAAAAAGGTATATTATTCTCTAGAGGTTGATGTGCATTGGCTATAGACTTGTGGTGTTATTATACTTCAGCACCGAAAGCCAAACCTTAAGATTTACTTTGATCTTGAAGCACAATCATAAAATGTTCCATTCAGCAGGACTGCTATCCTTCACATTTAATGAGCATGTAAAATAAATAAAACTTTTGAAATATGAGTATTGTCGAATAAGGAAGATTAAATATCAGCCAATCTAGGTCTTGCATCAGATGATCCAGAACCTACCTCACACAGTTTCTGCAACAATTCCAGTTTGCTTCGGAGAGAGGAAATGCTTTCAGAGAATGTTGATTGGAACAGGATACAAAAGGCTCGTTCAGAGAAGTTGGGAATCAGGGAGAGCTCATAAAGAAACCTGGAGATATTAAAGAAAAACATGACTGAGTTCTATTAAAAGAACTTGATGGACAAAAATAGGTTCAGATTTATAGTCTAAAATCATTCCCAATTAAACCAATGAATAATGAAAATTTGTTCTGAATAGGAACAGATTATCTGTATGACTGTGGAACCCAAACATAGGGGGAACAAAGGACTAATAGCAGGTGGAGGATATTTATTGGTTTTGGACACAACAAGACACAACAAGAACAATGAGATCCATTCCTTCTCTGAAACTGGCAGTGGAACTTCTGAAGCTACCTAGAAGTCTTTCACCTGAAATGAGATTTCCAGTAGATACAGATACCTCTCACCCCTTACCAACTCAATCTAGCCAGTGCTAAGCAATGAAAAAACAACTGTTTTGCAAATAGTGACTGTCATTTTAATTTCCCATAAGGACACTGTTATCCCAACAGAGAAATATTCTGACACTTGCCTTGAGGAAAAAGAAGACAGTGGGGAAAGAGATGATCTATTAAAATATGTGTCCCTTGAAAGGATTTAGGTCCTCAGAGAAAGGACTAATAGTGCTGTCCTGTTACTGGGGCTCAGAACTTTAGTTCAGATATTGAATGTGATTCACTCAACAGCAGCAGAAAAAATAGATAAAAAAATAAATGATCTAGATCAGGGGTGTCAAACTTGATTTCATTGAGGGCCGCACCAGGGTTGTGTTTGACCTTGGGGGCTGGGGTGGGTATGGCCAGGATGGGTGTGGCCATCTTGATGTCACTCGTGTCGGGGGCGTCAGTGGTGGCCTGAGCGCTCTGCCAGAGAAAACAGGCTCCCGAACTCTGTTTTCAGCCACAATGGCCTCCTGCCGCCTTCTGCCAGGGAAAAATGGAACGGGGGGGGGGGGGGGCTGGCTGCATGCAGCTGTCCCAAGTTCTGTTTTCGCTGGCAGAGGACTGTGGGCTGGTCATTTGCTGTTTCTAGGTCGGCCTTGTGGGCCTTGTATCGGCCTTGTGGGCCTTGTGTCAGCCTTGTGGGCCAGATCTAAACACCCCAAAGGCCGGATCTGGCTCCCGGGCCTTGAGTTTGACACCCCTGATCTAGATGGAAGTATAGACTTGGGGTCTGTACAGGTTTATATAAGAGGAGGATGGGAATAATCATCAGATATTGCTGCAAAATCTTACTTCTCCCTCCTGATAGAGGACTGGTTAATACAGAAGTACACACATATATGCACACATATACATGCACCTTTGCCTGAAAATTTAAATTAATAACTAAATGTCCTGGGACTTTCCATAACAAAAATCTTGATAGATAGGTGAGATCTTGCAAGATTTCAGCTATTTCACATGATAATTCAACTATTTTTAGCATATAATCAGGCAGTTCGGGAGATGAATTAACATTATAAGAAAAGTGACATCAAATATATTTTGGTGTCTATTGAATACTATGTCTGTAAATGCAGTTACTATACACACATGTGCGCATGCGCACACATACACACACGCACACACACACACAAACCTAAATTGAGTACATTTGAAGTAGGGATTAAGATGTAAATCCAAAGAATGTGCAAGAGAAAAGGAAGTATCAAGGTTATGGAAAAATAGCTAAGCAGGGATAAGGATCAGATGAAACCTATTCTCATGAAGCAAATAGTTCTTTCTGGGGAGAAGCAAACAAACCAAAAGACTTGTAGTAAATTCATCTACTGGAAGAAGAATTGGGAAAACAGGAGGGCATCACTATTGTACAAATCACCAGAATAGCTCAAGAATATCGTAATCCAGTTTTCTCAAACAAAGTGGAACTGAATCTCATGGTTATTATATGTATTGAACTGGTAAATTATTTGTTTCAGTTAGAACAATTTGTGTTGTAACTGAACCTGAACTAAAAAGTTAATAGTTGACTCTCTCCAACCAGTGTAGATGGTTTATAGTATCCTTACTGTTCAGGTTTGTCCAAAGATTTGGCATTCTCCTTTTCTTTACTTGATTTGCCATGCTTTTCTATCTTTTCCAGTTCATCAGATTGTGCTCTCTTGAAAAAAGATTCATAAATATAAAGAAAATTATGAATGGAAGTAATACATAATCATGTATATAAATAAGTATTCAGGAAATTAAATAATGTTTACAATTCAATTATAACCATTCAATTATAATTCCTTCAATTTATTTTAATTATTTATACAGAAAGATATTCAATATTTAACATAAATAATGTGGTAAACTTCATGAAATAATGTTAGACATAAAATGTTCACCCAGACAACTATCATTAAATAAAACCTACATAGTTATGATATTAAACATTTCCAATGTCATTTTATTCAAGCATGGATTAAGTTGATTCATATGTTAACTACAAAGCCACTTTTTGTTTTTTAAATAGAAAAGGGAGAGAAAAACTTTTTAAAGAAAGACATAATTATTTTAAATTCACACTCAAGATGACTTTAATTATGAGAGATTCAATTAGTTTACAGGGCATTATTTAAACAGAAATAGGCACGACAATTTGAATCCAAAATTGCAGTGTATGATTTTTGCAGTAATTCTTAGTTGCCTTTATATTAATGTTGATTTCTTCTCTCCAACTAACTGTATACAAAGGATATTCAAAAATGTACTTTTACACAAAAATCTATTTTGAGATAAAAGCAATACAATGAACATTCTGTTAGAGCGTTCTACAATTTATTATCTGGAATATACCAAATTGGAAATTACTGATTTACAGGTATGATTAGGAGATACTATTTTCTTTCAGCAGTATTCTGTTCCAGGTAAAGAATAACAGAGTATTGTTAGTAATACGTTTACATTCCACCTTTATTTCTATAGAGCTCAAGGCAATGTGCATACCATACACAATAACATCTTCCCTGTGAGGTGGGTTGGATTTAGAGACAGTGATTGTTATTTTAAAGTATTTTCAAAGAATTTTTCCTAAATGGAATTCCAGTCACAGAACTTTAATGCTTATAAAAATATGTCCTTCCTTCTGAAATTGAAACCCAGACATATAGCTTAGGCCACGGGTCAGCAATCTTAAACACTCAAAGAGCCATTTGGACCCATTTTCCACAGAAAAGAAAACACTGGGAGCCACAAAACCCTTTTGACATCTAAAATGAAAATAACACTGCATATATCGTTTTTAAAAACTTTTTTTATACTATGTATAAAAAAACTACAATGTGTTGTATTTATGAAATCAATGACCTGCTGCAGAGAAAACACATTTTTATTTCTGCATGCAACAAAAACATTTTGAATTCCGAAAAAAAAGATGGATTGAAAAGCTCAATAAATCACGTGCTGGCGGGTGTCACACACTGGCAGTTGTGATGCATATTTTGCGTGACAGGGAGCTGCAGCAGAGGGATGAAAGAGCCACATGCGGCTCCAGAGCTGTGGGTTGCAGACCCCTGGGTTAGGCACTCATCATATCCCTAGCTCTTAAACTATCAACCTTAGAACTTATGCATTAAAAAAGAAAGCTGTGCAAAATCTTTAATGCTTTTGCATGATTTAATATTGGAAAGCAAATTTCTAGCATCTAATTGGCAAGGATGTTTCAACTGAGCTTTAATTCTAAGCCGAAGAACAAGTAAGAACTATGGTAGTAGCCTCTGACAATGTCTCATAATTAGACTACAAATGAGACAATCGGTCTATTTATGAAAACTAATGGAATAAAACACAACCATAGCTAATACGAAATGTTTGAAAACGTTACAGCATAGAAGTGTCAGATTTCTAACGTAATATAAATTATTCTGAATTATGCAAGAATCTGTGTTAGAGCAGTGATCGCTTTATGTTCCCTGAATACAGCAATGTACTAGTTATTCACAAAGGAATCATACGCTGAAAACTTGCACGAAGTACAAAATGTCACTGCCAGCAACAATCGGCATGCAAGACACAATCCTGGGAAGTGGTAAGGGTGGGGGTGGAGGGAGATACTTTGCCAGATTGAGAGGTCCAAGAGCTGCAGGCCACATGGGAAAAATTACGCTAAATTAATGCTTGAGGATGTTTTTGGCAAATCCATGTTTCTGTAGTGGCTGTCCAAATCTTGTTAGTTTTTCTGAGATTTACTGCAGCCAATCAAAAATAGAGTTACAAAAGATCAAGCAACTTTCTGAACAATGAACCACTCGCTCAAATCCCCATCTGGAACAAAATGAATAAGCAGCACACGTGTATGTGAAAAAAATGACAGCGTTATGCCCTTTGTGAAATAGGTTCTTAAAAGTTACATATTATTCAGTTCTGTAGTTCTCTCTGTTATTTTTTTATGCATGCAGAGGAATTCCCAAGATGTGGAATCTGATAATAGGAAAGAAAGGCAAATTATCATTAAAAATCCAGGCTAATGGAAGACAGCATTGCTTCTAATGTATGTGGATCTGGGACATCTATCATAAGTAAAGTATACTTAAAGTCTCCAAAGTAAGCAAAATAACAGATCTTCTGTTTCCCCAGAGGCCTGTGTCAAAAAGGCAACCATTGCTTGCTTATAAATGTTTATTTATTAGATTTAAATGTTGTCCAACTCTATGACGCTAGGCCAGCAGTCTCCAAGTTTTGCCGACTGGTGGGGGGTGAGGAGGAGGGGATGTTGCCATGCAAGTGGTGCACACAACTCCATTTGTACAAGTGGCGGCACAACACCTGCTGTTCACACAAATGGAGCTTTGAGCGTGTGTGCTTGTCCATGGCCCAGTTCCGAATGGGCTGTGGCTCGGTACTGGGCTGCTACCCAAAGGTTGGGGACCCCTCTCTAGTTAGCTTATACTAAAAAGTAGAGAAGAAAAAAGTCCCATGGCTCCAGAGAAACATATTCCTATAACATGTCATACAACCAACAGGATCTCTATAAATTAGTCTCTATCCATGCTGTTCCTCCAGGTTTGGTTATAAATAAAATCTTAGAAATGTCAAAATCCTTAGTAAACATATCTAAAGAAATTAAATCACACCAATCAATCTTTCATTATTTTCCAAAACAGATATATTTTAAGGGCCTAAGAAGATTACAAATATTACAAATTTATTTGAGTCACTTATGATCAAAGCCCAGGTGAGATGAGGTGGATATGTCTTCATAACGGATGACCACTATATACCTCACCAGTTACTGTATAGTGTACTGGAATCTGGTAAGAGACCTCAAGGTCAACCACTCAAGTACTACCAAAAAGTTGAAAAAGAAACCGTACACCGCTGTGACATCCAGCCAAGGGAACTGGAAGCTACAATTGCAGATGGAAGCCAGAGGCGAGCCCTGTGCTATGAAGATGCTACCAACTTTGAAAAAAGATGCCACAAAAACCTAATAGAAAACCGTGAACGGTCTTAAAATAACACCCACAGTTACTACAAAATGGACTTCCAGTGCCCCCCACTGTGCTAGATTCTGGATTTCCAGACTGGGACTGCAGAGTTACCTCTGTGTCCACAGATGACCTGCACAACAGCCTGAAAAATTACTCTATATATTGGATTACTGAAGGAATCTGGGACTTTATGCAAGCAAAGATTAGACTTGAAAAATAATTTTGTCTCTCTTTTATAATGCTAAAATTCTGATATTCAGTGAAACTGAATGGGGAAAATTTAGAGGAAAACTTGCAGCTAAAACTATGGGATTTGCAAAGGCCCCTAAATTTCAACTACGGAAGTTATAATGGTCTCTATTGTAACAGAAACTAAAACAAATTGACCAATGCTAAATGTAATTAGTGTCCAGCGATCACAAAACTTAACTACTAACTCCAGAATCAACATGATATGATTCTGAGTATCCATCTCTTACAAATAATCGTGGATTATAGTTTTCTGCCTTACTATTTGGGTTCTTATCCACTGTGCACTAGGTAAGATCCAGCCAGGCTCTTACAAATAATGAGATTTAAAATAGACTAAAGCTCATTTCGTCTTTGATGTGCACAATACAAAACCTAGCTTTCAAACCTTTAATTATTTCCTGATTACAACATATCTGGATGAAGCTTTGGTGAGATGGCAAAGGATTAAGCATTCCTCTCCCCTGATTCGGATCAGTGTCACGAACAATAACAAGTAGGCTTGGAAGTTATTATTCTGCATCAGTTAGATTACTACATATTCATACATCATGGTGGAAATGTTGTTTATAACATTATTTGGGAGGAAAACAAGCAAACATCTTGAAGACTTCTAATCTCTTAGTAAAAGGTCTCTAGTTTTGAGTCTTGAAATCAAACACAAGTTTCCACATGGCATCTAATGTAGTGTGAGAAGAAAACCTCCCTGATGCAGGGATTTGGGTGTATGAGGCACCATATGGGAAGGTATCTGTATGCATGTTGTACAATAGCAAAGGAAGACTTTGAAAATGTGATTTTACTCTTTTCCAAACATCAATATGAACATGTCCAGGAAATAGATAATTTACTATTCTCACCGGATCTTTCTGATGCAAGCAGAAATTTTGTAACATATTATTTGGGTAATGAGACAGAACCCTTTAAAGATAATTTTGGCTATATATCACTCCTTTCTTCTTTTCTTTTTTAAAACCTAAACTAAATATATTGTATATATAGGAAATAAAAAAAGAGGAATTTCCCCCTCAAAGACATTGTTTCAAAGGAATATTTAGCAGATGGTTCACATAAAATTTCATTAGCTCCTGATTACATTTGACACATCTTTGAAATGATACATTGAAATAAGTTAAATAGAAACCTGCTGGGTGAAAACTAATTATGATTCAGAACAAACAGAATGCAGGATTACTATATATTCTTTTATAGTTTCCTATTCGTTATACTTCACATTAAAAACCAAAACATTTTGATAAAAACATCTTGGAAGGCAGTCTTCAGAGCCCATAAATCTAGGGCTGTTCATAAAGATACAGTTCTTTACAGGTATTATCTCCTGCAGCAGAGTTATATCTATGACTAACAAAGCCAGTTTCAGGACCTCTCTTTGGCTGACCTCCTTCTTGGACTGTAATAAATGCAGTTTAGTGAAGGAAAC